ACATTGATTATCCAAGCCATTTATAGAAGTTTCTCCAAGTTAAACCATTTAGCGAAGCTGAACTGTAGTTTTATAAAACATTATTTTTCTTTTTGACGTTGAACGTGTCAATTAATGTATTTACATATAACTTCCCCTCCTCGTCGTTTCGTTTAATTACTGTCAGTTTTTGTTATTGAAGGTTTTCATTTTTGTTAGAGAAAACGTTATTGGAGATGTTAAAATTATTCACGTTGCATGGATATTTTTGAATAATTTAATTTTTCACAGAAGTTTTGACAGATTGTATTTATCATCATTTGATACTTACTTCTCCTGGTAAGTAAACTGTTCTCTCTATTTATTAACAAACGGTCCCTTAATATATTTGAAAAAACAACAACGTATAATAGGTTAACAACAATAATTGTTTGTTTGTTTATAATTCAGCACAAAGCTACACAATGGGCTATCTGTGCTCTGCCGACCACGGGTATCGAAACCCGGTTTCTAGCGTTGTAAGTCCGCAGACATACAGCTGTGCCACGTGGGGGGGGGGGGCAATAACAATAATAATATTCCAATATCCTCTACCACTGTATAATTCCATTTATCGTAAGAAACGGGTACTAAACTTTGCGTTCTGTAAAAATGTAAATATTTATGCATGTTTCTAATTGTGCATCTTAGTAATCCTAGTGTTTTATTAATACTAAACAAGTAAGTTAGCTGTGATTGACATGGTGATTCAATACTTCTTTGCTCATTGACGTTTCCCAACGTGATTTGAAATAAACTTTTCTGATATTGTCTTCTGTATAATATATAATAACGAATTCGACGAGCTGTCATAACAATATTCACGTACATAAAGTAATTTAGGTTACTACACAGTGAAGCAAATCGGACTCAAAAACCCACAGATATTCTGATATTGTTGTAACGTTGTTCTTTCATTGGCGGTTTTTGAATTATCTGGTAAAAAAAATTCAACGTCCAGTCCACGTAATGATAACAAATTAGTTTTTCGTCCTTTTTTAGCGTTTCTACAAGCTTAAACACTGTGGTCAACACAGCCTCGCTAACTGTACTACACTTACGTAAACGTATCAACTTGTACAAAGTAACTCAATAAGCGCGATAGATGATAACAGATCTAAATATCTAACCAAAAACAGATCGATTCACTCCGTCCGCTAAAAACAAGTCTATATTCTTAGCTTTCCCGAATCTTCCGTTTTCAATCTACCATAGAATTTACTAGAAAACTTAGTGTCAATTCTTTAGAACTTTCTAGGCTTATATTATTAAAACTTTCGATCTTAATGTCATCATTATAACTCGCAGCTCCCTCTAGCTAACAAATTACAACAGTTAAAATATAGCTTACAACAATGTGAAGACAAGCACATTTTAAAAGTTATCACAAGTACAAAAACTATGTCCTTTCCATTAAAACTGTACAATAGCCAGTGATCAATATTTCGCTTCTTGCGAGATAGAGATATTTTTAATCAGTTTTATTAACGCTCAGTTGGGGGAGGGGAAAATCATCAGAATCTTCACTGCTAAACATACGTTCAATGTTATAGAATGTATTTTATTCCCACACAACTATTGTTACGCGAAAATTTTGTTGTCTTGTTAACAGAATGTCTGGTCCGTACCTGTACCTTCTTAGGAAGGGTTGCAGCCTCACTTTGCTATCAACATTGCCTTTCAAACACGCAAAACATGTAAAAAAGGGGGGAGGAAAAACAAATAACACAATATCGATGTCATTTGTTTTCGAATCAATAATTAGTCCTCTACTGTATTGTTTCAAAGTTAAAAATTGACTCTTTTTCTAAAAGTGTAAATTTAAAAGTACGCGTTTTACAAGAATGGTTATAACTTCCAAGATTGCGTTACAGCCGAGAGCTTACTTGTTCATTTAAACCTCTATTATCTTCACTCTAGACCAGTGGTTCCCAACCTTTTCTCCACCAAGGACCCCTTTTATTATCATTTTTACCCCCACGGACCCCATGTTTTTGAAAGAATCCGCCTACCCAACAAACTGTTTTTGTTAACTAATAATTAACTCGTTCTCCCACTTTTAACTATAAAATAAAAGACATATAATTGAGTGTGCAATTAAAAAAACCCATCAGTATTAAAAAACTTACTTGTTTAATGAGATGGTATTACCTACGCGGTCCCCCAGGGGTCCGGGGACCCCAGGTTGGGAACCACTGCTCTAGACTGTAAAACTAGTGTTTTCCTAATTGAAACAACAGCTGATTGTTACACAACCTCCACAGGTTCAGGCTTCTTTGTTGTAACACCCTTCAGGTATCGCTGTTATAGTAACTAAATAAAATTTCTAAGGAGTATTCTTGTAGGATTATTTGTGTGTTACAAACAACAATCTTGGAGGTTTACTTACGTTAAAATCAACAGAACAACAGTAGAGGTTTATTTGTGTTACAAACAGAGTAAACTTGAAGCTTTATTTATGCTAAAATCAACAGAACAATATTAGAGGCTTATCTGTGTTACAAACAGAGTAAACTAGAAGCTTTATTTATGCTAAAATCAACAGAACAATAGTAGAGGTTTATCTATGTTACAAACAGAGTAAAGTTGAAGCTTTATTTATGCTAAAATCAACAGAACAATAGTAGAGGTTTATCTGTGTTACAAACAGAGTAAACTTGAAGCTTTATTTATGCTAAAATCAACAGAACAATAGTAGAGGTTTATTTGTGTTACAAACAGAGTAAACTTGAAGCTTTATTTATGCTAAAATCAACAGAACAAGTGTAGAGGTTTATCTGTGTTACAAACAGAGTAAACTTGAAGCTTTATTTAAGCTAAAATCAATAGAACAATATTAGAGGTTTGCTTGTATTGTAATCAACAAATATTAGATTCTTTTATGTTAAAATCTAAAATAAAACCCTAAAGGATTTATTATGTTATAAATCAACAGGGCAACATTAAAACTTGTTATATTACAGTTAAGACTGAAGCTTTAGATACTGGAGTAGAATCAGTAAGAAACCTAGAATATTTAATCTTGGAAGTTTATTTCTTTACAAGAGGAGCCGTAACAATCAGAAATAAGACTTAAGAGGTTTCCCCTAGTTGCGAAAAAAGAAAGTAATCTTAAAAATAGTACATCTTAATGTCCTTCTGAAAAAACAAACAAACAAACTGTTGTTGTGATTGCCTTGGATATCTACCTGTGTTTTAAAAAAAGTTATTTTATTAACATCGGAGGTAATAGTGAAACCTTGAGGATTTACTGGTGTTACAATCAATGAAGGTTTATTTATTACAAAAAATAGAGCGATATTGAAGGTTTATTTGTACTACAATCACTAGAGTAATACTGGAGGTTTGCTTGTAATACAAGTAATTGAGTAAACTTGAAAGGTTACATGTTTTACAAATCACTAGGATAACCTCGACGGTGTACATGTTTTATAGTCACTACAGAAGTATCCTTCGAGGTTTACCCATGTTACAATTAGAGTAACAATGGAAGGTTACTTGTTTAACGCTCAATGGGATAATAACGAGGTTTACCTGTGAAACTTTCAACAGTTACAAGTTAAGTTTACTCTGGGAACGTCCAATAGAGTAGTTAACTCGTGGAACGATCAAAAGAGCAACTTTGGGGTAATAATATACGATACCTGAAATAACAGCTACATAGAGCTAAGCCTACTTCCCAAACCAAACTGCAGCAAAGTTTGTCAAATAAATACTAATACATGACAGTAACAAGTAGGAAGTAGGAACGTCTAAACTAACTGTATTAAACAATAGTCGATGAAACTATTGTTACAGTAAAATACCAGAAGTCGCACTTCAAACACGAATATCAACACTTGTTTTCAAGTTGTTTGTGAACTACTAATTGTCTACGACAGTTATTCTGCAGAATTATCTTTTGTATTTCAAGTGAACAAATACAGCAAACAACCACGAACAAATTTCTTTTTTTCTAGGCTATTAAGATATCTAGTGCTATCAGATTATGTAATTTTTTTTCAAAATATCTTACATGAAGAAGTATTTTCTTTTTCATTTATTAAAAGCATAATCTCAGCATTTACCATATAAGGACTAATCCTTAACCGCCAAGAATTTGAACTGGAGGTAGACAAACTCCAAAGTCTTTAAGATACGAGTTTTTCTAAGGTACGAGACTCGAGTGTCTCCACGAATATAAGCTTTACGTTTCTCTGTAGGATACGGTCTCCATCACCTCAAGGTAATCAATGTTATATTCGTTTAAAAACGTAAAGTTCAACTATATTTATATAAAATGTTATGGACAAGATAAACATTTGTATGTGCATGTTCCTGCACAGCATTGACCGTACCTAATTTTGAACTGAAAGACTAAAGAGAAGGCAGCTAGTCAACAGTACCTACCGCCAACTCTTCGGTTACTTTCCTCTGACCGAATAGTTGGAGTCGACCGTCACCCTTATAACGCAAGCACAGCCCACTGGGGACACGCTCAATCCAATACTATTCATAAAAACTTGTTTCGTACGACTGTTACAAGAATTAGTCAACCTAAATGTGTAAGCGTAAATACTGATGCAAAGAAAATACAACATTTCGCTAGAGGTCAGATTACATTACTGGAGTGTAATTTGTATGAGTAAATTATCATTTCACACTCGCATTCACAGATTTCTTGTCGAGATTAGTATAGACTCCCTCTATTGATAATAGAAGACGCTAACATTTTAGGCGAAAAACATATGACCCAATGTTTTTCTTTTTTCATTTACGTATCAAGTATTTGATTCTACTACACTTTTTTTCTAACTTCTGTATCTTCTCGACAACCAAATAACCCTGGCGAACCATTAATTATATTGAAAGAATAGTCTGCAGTTCTGAACAGCCGTACGAGTACGGGGAGAAATAAGATACTGAACTTGAGGATAGAACCAACAACAACCCATAGAACATTCTTAACTGGCAAAAATACCTTTATTTAGACAAACAAGCGTTGAAGATATTACATATCAGTTTTCTTTTCATCCCATTGTTTTCAGTAATATATGGGGAAAACCTCTTGTTAAACTTGCAGCTAGAAGCATAAACAATATATGTATATAGGGTATTACAGAAAACTGGGAAGACAAACTATTTCTTAATTATCTAAAAAAAAATGAATTAAATAAACAAAAACTAGCCTGCTTCTACAGTCTGATGATACAAATTTTATATAAAATTAGTGAATATATGTAAAAGCGATCTTAAATTCATAAGTTATTAATTTTTAGAATAAACATTTATAAAACACACATTGTCTGATCATATATCTTACCTTAAGGCAAAACAGTAAATGATTGCGATAATTGGTAAATCTGTACGTTAAATTGGCCGCAGGTTAGAAGCAAGTTATAGAGGTACAGTTCTTTACTTTAAAGTTTTTAAAAGTTAGTTTGGTTTGTTTTGAATTTCGCGCAAAGCTACACGAGGGCTATCTGCGCTAGCCTCCCCTAATTTAACAGTGAAAGACTAGAGGGAAGGCAGCTAGTCATCACCACCCACAGCCAACTCTTGGGCTATTCTTTTACCAACGAATAGTGGGATTGACCGTCACATTGTAACGCTTCTACAGCTGAAAGGGCGATCATGTTTGCTGGGACGGGGATTCGAACCCGCGACCTTCAGATTGCGACTCGAGCGCCCTAACCACCTGGCTATGCCGGGGCCCAAACGTTTTTAAGAGTTAAAATCGAGTACACTTCGAACGGTCACGCGTCCTTTAAAAGCTATACGGAACTTTGCGATTTAAACTAAAGAGTTGTTCCTCTTTTGAAGTTAAAATAGAACAAAATAAAAAGATTGGAAAATATTAAAACATAGAATATTAAACAAATATTAAAAAATATAGTTACCTAATTCACCTCTCGTTAGCTTCACAAAATATTTATCACTAAGATATCAGACAAACACTTGTTAGGGTTTTTCAAAAGATACATTAAATAATAACGTGGTGGAACGAAGACTCACCGAGAGATTTTTTTTTATAGCTCACATTAAAAGAAAATTTACTATTATTTGATAAAAAATAAATCAGTTAAATTTTCTTATTGCAGGTTTCACATTAATGTTATACGTGGAAGTGCCCAATACGGTTCTATTTACACATTGACTAGCTACTTTATTAGGACGCTCACCTAATAATGTATCTTGCAACGATCATAGTCTGGACTCAGCGTGGCATAAACTTCGTAAGATGACAAAGTGTATTGGTTTTGTTTATTTGTTTGATAGTCCATTCGTCTAAAGGTCAGTTCTGCAAGAGATTGATAGATGTTTATACAGAGGATTACAACAAGTGCGACATTAGGTTCATCTCCGTAATGCTCAATCGGATTGAGATCGGGTGATTTACGCTGTCAAGGAAGATTACTTACGTCACCTTTATGCTCTTCATACAGATATTGGGCAGTACGAATCCGGCATTGTTGTGTTACATTAGTGTCTTAGAAAAGCCCTTGTCCATCAAGGCAGAAATGCACGAATATGTGATAGACATGAACGGCAACAGTGTTTACGCACACTTTGGATGTTATTCGCTTTTCTGTTTGTTTTGTTGTTGAAGTTAAGCCCAAAGCTACACAATGGGTTATCTGTGCTCTGCCCACTACGGGTATCGAACCGGTTTCTAGCGTTGTAAGTCCGCAGACATATCGCTGGAGGGCTTCGCTTTTCTTAAGGAACCAAAGGACCCATTTACACCATTTTCAGCAACTTGCATTAAAGGAACAATACAAGAAGGGTACAATGCATTATATATCTTAAGTACCATTGAAGCCTTGCTTTCCTGTATGTATGCGAGAACTTTTTTAATGACCTTCCCATGATGTGATCGAAAATAGATGAATCCAGACTACTGTTGAACCAGTCGCTCAACTGAGATACAATCTGATGTCCATTTCACATTATAAGCTTTTTTAATAGTATTTTCCTTGAATCAGTCGCTAGATATTGGCTGTCAAAGTTTCTGATAATGGCAGATGTATTCCTTTTCGATTGCCACGGTTGATGTTCTGATGACGGATGTGTTTAGCCATTAAAAAATAATAATAAAAATAACGACGTCGGCTCAGTGGTTAACGTATCGGACTGTAAAATCAAAGGTTCCATGGTTCGCGTCCCGTTACAGGTAAAAAAAAAAAGAATGTGCTCAACACTTTAGGACCGTGGGAACGTTATAATCGTTTAGAGTAGCCCAATAGTTGGCGGTAGCTGGTGTTGACTATTTGCCTTCCTCCAGTCGATCACTTTAAAATTAGGAACAGCTAGCGCAGATAGTCATCGAGTAGCTTATCGCGAAATCCAACAAACAAAGACAACGACGCTTCTATAGAAAGGCTACCCACAATCCTACACCTTTGAAGTTACTGATTATTGCTCTTACTCATTGTCTTAAAGATTAATATGATTACATTTCTACAGTTATATGGCTCAAGCGATGCACATGTAAATAAGTGTAGTGTTCTTACGAATATGTATGTATGGATGGATGGATGAGTGCTAATAACTAACTAATTAGCCAACAATATAAATGAGAAAAAAATAGTTATAATATATGATCAAACGCACATTTTCAAATACATGCACTATTATGAACAACTTGTGGTAAAACAACACGTGTTCTGTATATATACAACCACAGTGTTTGAGTGGCTAGAACTCAAGTTTAACTTAATCACCATACAAACATTGTGGGCTAACAGAACAATATAAAAAATGTGTTGGTTGATGAATAGTCTTGGTATTTTATACAATCTGCATACGTATAATAACGTTAGCAAATCAAGATACTTTATGACAAATTAAAAGTCAAAAACTGAAAAAAAAATTACTCGTGAACAATTGAAACCAGAACTCGTCATAAAACAACAATTTTGAATAGAAAATTACACATCTTTTGTGTTATTAGAAAACACAAAATGTGTGTATTTATATCTGTACAACAATCACGTAATACAAAGGTTGAATATGTTATATTAAGATGAATTTGGATCCTCATCACCTCGTTATAATCAATATTGTCACGTCCGGACGTTGACGACCGTTAGTCCTGACAATAGCCCTGCACTTATAGTTTCCACTGCAAAAGGCTCCGTCGTAAAGCGGTCATGTCAAAGTACACAACTCTTCCCTACATGCTTTCCACAATCCATCTATTATACGGAGACGATGGATTCCAATTCATAGATCGACTTGCTGGCCACAAGGCTACGCTCGACATCATTAGAAATGGAGAGGGGGGGGGCTATACAAATCCAATTATCAAGTAGAAGAAAGACAACTTAAAAGTTTTGCCGGACACACAGAAAAGCCAGAGAGGAGTGATATCCTGTACTCCTCCCTGTTAGACCACAGACGTGCATTTTGGAAAGCGTGTCAAAAAAAAAGAGTCCAAAAGGTTCCATCTTTATCGAGCTGCCATTCAAAATCTCATTGTAAGTATCGCACTTTATTCGAAAGAAGATAAAAATTGATTAATAACAACATGGACGTGTCTTTCTTGTTATACTTCTGGTTTTGAGTCAACATAAGAAGCCACTCATGAGGAAGAAAAGGACGTTTGGAAAATTGGCAAACTCACAACCATAGCTAAGATTGGTAATTCCCCAGATGTTATGTTGATTGAAAACAACATATGAAAAAAGAAAACAAAAACTAATTTAAAACTTCTCATATTTATTTTCAAATAAATCTGAAAAATGTCTAAAAATTATAAGACTCAGGAAGTGTTTAACGTATTTGTCGGTAACCATAGCAATATTCGCCTAACGTCTTTGTCGGTAACCATAGCAATATTCGTCTAACATCTTTGTCGGTAACCATAGCAATATCACCGGTCTTATCGTTTTGTCAAAGAAGGCTAATGAACGGGAGAGCTCATGGAACCTGAGTTAAAGTTGTCTTAAAAACACGCACACATGCAATGAGCAGTTGATAAATGTCTAAGTTTTTTGATATCGCCGGCGTGATTACTTCCGACACGCTACTGTAACTAAAGCATTAAACTCTAACTTAGAATCTTCAGTTTTCTTTCTATTATTCTTTTACAGTGCGTTTCATGCAGGATCATTTAACTTTTTTTCCCTCCTTTTTTAATATTCGCGAACTCTGGTCTTATAGTAAAATAATGCATTTGAAGTCAGTAAATTAACATTCAATCCTTCTTGGCTTACTTTCCAAGCTGATGCTCAGTTCTTCCTAGTAGTGACAATCTTCTGAGAACAGCTACAAGCTGAGAAGGCATAGTTACCTGATCCCAGTTCCTCATTTTGCAAAGTCTTCTGAACAAGTCAAAACGCACGTGAAACAATTCGCTTACATTTCGGTTTAATTCTAACTTAAGAGGAACATGTTTGCATTTCCGGAATGTTACGATCGACAGTGAAGTGTTCAGAATATGTAATAAAATCAAGTCTACCGTTACTATTTCAATACACCCCATAGTGTGCATTATATTGTAACCAGCTTTTAATGCCAGGTACAGTTTACTCGTGTAGTCAGGTGATGAAAGATGAAAACCAATTTATACTTTCTGCTTCTTTACTAAAATAATGACAGTTTCTGGCAATATGATAAACTCTATAAAATATTTATCATATTATCCTTTTATTTTACACGTATGAAGCTATTAGCATTACCATACAATCTCGTTATACTTTGGTTTATGAAACGTTCTTATTTCTAACTAATCTTTTTATTTATTAACATCTATATTTATTTTTTTTCTTCAACTGTAAATTTAATACAAGGATGTCGTTTAATCGAATACTTTAAGAAAGAATTCACACGTTCTTTTTTCTTAAATACGACAAAGGTATTATCAACATACCTATGATATCTCACAGGCTTAAATTTGTCAGGACAGTTGCTCAACCAATGCTTTTTCATAGTATAAAAATAGGTTTGTTAAACCAGATGCTAATTTTGAACTCATGGCGACGCCATCTATTTGATCATAAATGCTGTTATTAAGCTTAAAATGAGATTTTTACTGATAAAATTAAACAGTACAATAAAAACTGATTTTGTTACAGCTTC